ACCTTGAGCTCAAAGGGAAATGCCTTAGGAATAGGTATTTCAACCACTTGAAAGATTTTTCTGCAGTAGAAATAACTGGATGCTAGTGGAAAGAGATTAATAAAAAGAAAAAGGTCACTCTACATTTAGAGCTTGTCTACTTAAGTGCAGTTCCAAATAGAGTGTATTACAAATGAACTGCTATCACAACCCTGCTTGCAGTTTAGTTGGGGATTCGAGACATACACTGGTGAAACATATAACCAAATATATACAGCAGTACGTGCGTCGTGCCCACATTAATGCTAGCAGGGTTGTCGACTAGGACTTTCTGCTGTGGTAGAATGCTCTGTATTTGTGCTATCCAATATGATAGCCACTAGCCACGTGGGGCTGTGGAACGCTTGAAATATTGCTAGTGTGGCCAAGAAACTGAACGTTAAATTTTATTTAATTTTAATTGATTTAAATGTCCATGACCACCTGATCTAGTGGCCACAGTATTGCCCAGCGCAGGTAAACCTTACATACTTAAGAATCCAGAATCTAGAAAAAATACTGTGGGTTAGAGTAAGAAGAGAAGGTTGTCAAAGGCTGGGAGACTTCATAGAGAGGAGGGGAGGCATCGGCTAGACCGGAATGTCCAAGATTTGCTGGTAAAATACCGAGTGGCTTGGCTGAAGCATACGGCTCCTGTAGAGAAGTGGAGGGAAATAAGGGAGGTTGGTACGGATTTGTGGGGCTCCTTGAGTATCAGTGTCAAAATTAATCCTGAAGGCCCTAGGGAACCAATAAGATAATACCTGTCAACTGTGACATATTATGCAAATACCGTACTCATTGCAGAAGACTTTGCAATAGAATGAGTGCTTTAGGAGGATTCAGCTGGCATGGCATCAAGAGAGCTGAGAGGGGAGAGAAGACTCCAGGCACAGCACTGGGTTGAGTCTTAAGGCAGCCTCAGTCTGCGATCTAAGGAGCTGGGTTGGAGCAGGAGTTAGAGTAGAAAGATCCGGCTGGCAGAGCAGCTTTATGGAATGATTTAGTGACTGGAGAGTCAAGAATCATTCATTCAGCAAATAACACTTGAACCTGTCCCATGTGCCAGGCTCTGAGCTAGACTTGGGGGTACATCAGTGAAAGACCAGAGATCTTTCAGAAACACACATACTACATTTTGGGTGGAAAGCCAGCTACAGGGAATAAAGAGGGCATGCTGGCTTCAGATCATAAAAGTCCTTGGTTGCCATGATAAGCCAAGGTCAGAAAGGGAGTAGAGGGGCACCTGGGTGGCTCAGTTGTTAAGCGTCTGCCTTGGGCTCGGGTCATGATCCCAGGGTCCTTGCCCTGGCGGAGCCTGCAGTCTAGTGAGGATTGAAGTTTTGTGGTTGACAAAGTGCTGGTACTGTTGATTCTAGAGGAAATTCAGGCGAATCCTGTTGGATGTGGGAGATGAGATCAATGTTGGAAACTAGGCCAAGAAAGCCAACGAAGTAGACATGTACATACACTCCTACTACGTACGACACTCCATACGTTTTCACCCTTCTTGAAGGTCCTCAAATGATAATTTGTCCAAGTCAGTAAATCTTAGCCAGGCGGAGACGGTATCTCTCCCATGGGTTTCCTGTGCATTGCCACCGTTCCTATGAGGCCTTCCCAGTTTGCCCCACTTGCTGTGGAGGCCTCCTGCCTAGCCCCAGCCTCCACTTTGTGACCACTCCCCACCCCTTGCAACCTCTTTATTGGTGCCACCTCATCTTCCCGCAGCACATTCACATCACTTTATGACTCCTACACCTTTCTACTCCCTTTCTTTCTTTCTTTCTTTTTATAAAGATTTTATTTATTTGACAGAGAGAGACAGTGAGAGAGGGAACACAAGCAGGGGGGAATGGGAGAGGGAGAAGCCGGCCTCCCGTGGAGCAGGGAGCCCGATGCGGGGCTCGATCCCAGGACCCTGGGATCATGACCCGAGCCCAAGGCAGACGCTTAACGACTGAGCCACCCAGGTGCCCCTCTACTCCCTTTCTGACCTTGGCTTATCATGGCAACCAAGGGCTTTTATGATCTGAAGCCAGCGTGCCCTCTTTATTCCCTGTAGCTGGCTTTCCACCCAAAATGTAGTATGTGTGTTTCTGAACTGCCTTGTACTTACACATGTGTTTGCTTGGGGTGTTTTCTCTCTCTATCTTTTTTAAAAATATTTATTTATTTAAGTGATCTCTACACCCAACGTGGGGCTTAAACTCACAACCCAGAGATCAAGAATTGCATGTTCTTCTGACTAAGCCAGCCAGACATCCCGTGTTTTCTCTCTTTTAGATAGCCCAGTGCTGCCCCTTCCCTTCAGGTTCCCCTCAAGTCTCTTCCTACAAATCCCAGTTGGAAATACTACTTTTGCAATTAAGCCTTTCCCTGACCTGATCCCAGACTTGCCGACTTTGGATCTCAGAGGTCTAGAAATTTCTATCTCTTATGGCATCTTTTTTTTTTTTTAAAGATTTATTCATTTGAGACACAGAGATAGAGATAGAGAGAGAGAGAAAGAGAGAGAGTGAGAGCATGAACAGGGGGAGAGGCAGACTCCCCACCGAGCCAGGAGCCCAATGTGGGCCTCGATCCCAGGACCCTGGGATCATGACCTGAGCTGAAGGCAGACGCTTAACCATCTGAGCCACCCAGGTGCTCTCTCTTATGGCATCTTGTGTAATGCCTTGCCCATAGTAGTTGCTTTATACATGGTGGAGTTGAAAGAGATAATGTATATTTATACTGTGAGGGGCCAATTGAGAGCCAGAACATAGGCTAAAATGGGAAGCTAGCATGACCTAGATATTAGAACTCAGCAAACACCCGCAAACAAAAAATAAAACCTAAAACTATAGACTAATATTGGTTATTAATAAAGATGTAAAAATCTTAAATTTTTTTAAAAGATTTTTTTATTTATTTGACAGAGAGGGAGAGAGAGCACAAGCAGGGGGAGGAGCAGAGGGAGAGGGAGAAGCAGGCTCCCCACTGAGCAGAGAGCCCAATGTGGGGCTTGATCCCAGGACCCTGGGATCATGACCTGAGTCAAAGGCAGATGCTTAACCAACTGAGCTGCCCAGGCACCCCAAAGATGTAAAAATCTCAAATAAAATATTAGAATGCCTAATTTAACAGCATTAAAGAATAATCGATCATGACTGGACAATGTGTTTGTCCTGGGGATTGAATTGATTGATGCATTATATTGATCAGACAAAAGAAAGAATGCCCATATCGCCATAGATGCTCAGTAGACAATCTGCAGAACCTAAACCCTCCTGCTCACAATCTCATAACAAGCTAGGAAGAGAAGGGGAGTTCTTTTTTTTAAAAGATTTTATTTATGTATTTGAGAGAGAAAGAGAGAGAGAGCATGAATGGGAGGAGGGGCAGAGGGAGAGGGACATGCAGTCTCCGCACTGAGCACAGAGCTCTATGTGGGGCTCGATCTCATGACCCTGAGATCATGACCTGAGCTGAAACCAAGAGTTGGATGCTTAACCGACTGAGCCACCCAGGTGCCTGGAGAAGGGGAGTTCTTCTTCTTCTTTTTTTAAAAGATTTTATTTATTTATTCATGAGAGACAAAGAGGCAGAGGCAGAGGGAGAAGCAGGCTCCCTGTGGAGCAGGGAGTCCAATGTGGGGCTTGATCCCAGGACCCTAGGATCATGACCCGAGCTGAAGGCAGACACTTAACCAACTGAGCCACCCAGGCGCCCCTGAAGGGGACTTCTTAAACAAGAGAAAAATTACCTTTTATAAACCAATATCAGACAGTAAACTCAATGGGGAAATAGTGGGGGATTCCTATTAAGACTAGAAATGAATAAAAGATGTGCACTGTTTTAACTAATAAAGTTGTTAAAATGAGACCAACTAATGCTGTCTGGAGAGTGCAGCTGGTGTTCTCCTGCCTGTTTGTAGACTTTTGAATCAATACAATCTTTCGGAGAATCAGTTAGGTGGTCTCTTTCACAAACCCCATAAAAATACTCATACCCTCTGACCCAGACATTTACTTCTCAGAAATTCTCCTAAGGAAATATGGTATGTTGACGGAGATATGAACAGGTACTCATTATAGCATTATTTAGAAGAATCAGAACTGGCAACAATCGAAATGTCCCACAATGGGGAAATAGTTAAGGCTATTATGGGGTATCCCTGCAGTGGAGTATAATTAGTCATTAGAAATGTTTAAGGCTTTTGATGCAATAAGAATGCTCTTGTATCGAATTAGAATGATACAGATTGCATTTAAACATTTCCTCATTGTGTATAAAAATTTCCTTTGTTTCTTGGTGGTGGCGTTAGAAGTAATTTTTCTTTTTTTTGGTTAAATTCCTCTCCAACACTCCCCATCCCTCCTTCCCCCAAGCTGGACTCAGTAAGTGGAACTTGAGGGCTAGCTGTTTCTCAGATCCTGAGAGTCCCAGCAGCACTAGATGCCAAAGCTGGGAGGGCCCTATGTCTTCCTGTCCCTTTTATTTTAAACATTACATGCCAGAACCAAGGCCACCCCCTCAGTGATGGAGAGAACTGACTCTTGGTCCCATAATGCTTCTACTCCCTGAGAGGGTCATTGATTCAAAAAACACAGTGAGTGCTGGAAGTGACTTTAAAGACAGGTGTCTGTGTTTTGAAGTCTGCTCCTCACTAGCTGTTGACTAGAGTTGAAATTGGAAATGATGTGAGCACTGAGTGGCTGGGGAGGGAGAACTGGAACAGGGCTATTTTGATGGAAGACTGGAGTAAGGGCGTTGGTTTGGCAAGTCAGAATTCTTTCTAAGCCCCTGACACTATCTTTGCAGTCTTGGTGAAGATCATGGAACTATTCTCAGCCTTTCTTAAAAAAAAAAAGGTATAAAATTAAATGCATTTAACTAAGGTTACTTTCAAGTCTATTAAGCCATGGGGGTCTGTACTTGACAAGGAGAGACATGTCTAAGAATTTCTTTATTAACAGTAATTGGACCTCCCTGCCAGATCATTATAATTGCCAAGAATTAAACAGAGACATTAGCGATTGCATATAGAATGGGGACCACATCCCAGGCGCTCTTCTTTTGGTGCTTGGAATGATGATACATTGTTTTGGTTTTTTCCTTCACTGGGCTATCTTGTTCACTAACACCTGGAATTCTTCGAAACTAACTTCTCCGTCTCCATTCTTGTCCAGTTCTTGAAAGAGTTCATCTAGGGTGCTGGGACCCTGGTTTTAGATGAGAAGGATGGGAAAGGGGAGAGGAGAGAAAATGAATCAGTTACCGCTACCCATTTTCTGAAATTAGAGATGCTGGGTCTGTGTTCCAACAAGGCAGCTGAGGCTTCAGTTACATGCCGCTGATGGTTGAGGGTAGAAAGCCCAACTTTAGCTCCGTGTCACCGAACTGGCTACCTGGTTTTTCCTATATCACACATTTATTTTTATTTTAAAAAAAGATTTCATTTATTTTGAGAGAGAAAGAGAGTGTGTGCATGGGCAAGCGGGGAGAGGGGCAGAGGTTGAGGAGAGAGAGAATCTGAAGCAGACTCCCCACTGAGCATGGAGTCCTACAGGGGGCTGGATCCCAGGACCCTGAGATCATGACCTGAGCCAAAATCAAGAGTTAGATGCTCAACCAACTGAGCCACCCAGGCGCCCCACACATTTATCATTTTAATATTGCTAATGTGTAGTTTAATATACAGTTGACCCTTGAACAATGCAGGGGTTACAGGCACCCACACCCCACGGAGTCGAAAATATGGGGATAACTTTTGCCTCCCCCCAAACGTAATGACTAAGAGCCTACTGTTGACTGGAAGCCTTCCTGATGACATATACAGTTGATTAACACAGATTCTGTATGTTTTATGTATTAAATGCCATATCTTACAATCAATCAAGCTAGAGAAAAGTGTTATGGAAATCATAAGGAAGAAAAAATACATTTGTCGTACTGTAAAAAATCCGCATATAAGAGGACCCGTGCAGTTCAAACCCATGTTATATAAGGGTCAACTGTAATTGGTTTTCTGTGTAACCTTAAGTATTTTTCTTTCTTTTTTTTTTTTAAGATTTTATTTATTTATTTGACTCAGAGAGAGCGAGAGACAGAGAGCAAGCACAAGCAGGGGGAACAGCAGGCAGGGGAGAAGCAGGCTTCCCGCTGAACATGGAGCCTGATGTGGGGCTCGATCCTAGGACCCTGGGATCATGACCTGAGCCGAAGGCAGCCGCTTAACGACTGAGCCACCCAGGCGCCCCAGTATTTTTCTTTATGTCTCTAAAAAGGGAGAAGGAATCTTAGGGCTTCACTGGACTGCCGAGGAGCCCATGGCCCACCAGTTGATGATGCTTGCCCCAAGTTTTTCCTGGGAGCTGGTTCTATGTAACCCAAGGCAGCATGGTGCCGTGGGCTCTCCGCAGCCTGCGCACTGCCCCCAACTACCCTGTGCGGGGGAGATCCACTTTACAGAGGAGGGAACTGTGCTCCGGGACAGCTGCTAACTGGCTCCAGGGCCCACAGCTGGTATACAAAGGGCTCAAGGTTCAAACATTGACTCTAGAGCTCAAGCCCTTAACTAGGATCCACACCAGTTTTTCCCAAGCCCCTGGGTTGCGGCCCCCCTCTACACCCTGCAGGATGACAGGATCAGTGGTTCTCACACTTTGGCGTGCAGCACAGTCACCAGATGGGCTTGCTGACCTTAGGAGATACAGAGTGACAGGTCCCACTCCTAGAGTTTTTGAGTCACTAGGCCTGGGGCAGGGCCTGAGAATCTGTATTTCCAACAGGTTTCCAGGTGATGTTGATGCTGCTGGGCCAGGACCCATCACACTTGGAGAACCACTGCTTGAGATGTTGTAAGAGATCATGTTAGGCTTGACTCCCTTTTGACTGTTACTACTCTAAAGTGTATTAAGCAGACTTAAGTTTTGTCTCTGGCCTAAGACTCAAATCTTTTTTTTTTTTTTAAGATTTTATTTATTTATTTATTTGAGAGAGAGAGCGAGAAACAGCATGAGAGGGGATAGGGTCAGAGGGAGAAGCAGGCT